ATTCCCCACAAGTCAGGTTTAATGATAAAATTTTCGTAAGTGCATTGAGTTCCAAGGCCGTGGAAGACTCCGTCCAGACATGTCTTTTAGCCGATATGCCCCTACTCCCGTGATCGAGTCGACCTGATAGGGGCCGTCCCAGTTAGGAACCAACTTTCCATCGGTCGATTTTCTGGCAGCAGGAAGTACTTTTTTCAGGACCAACTCCCCTGGTATGTAGCGGCGCAGCTGAACACGTTGATTATACGACTTAGCAAACTGTTGCTGATACCGCACCACGGATGCAAGGGCACGGTCTTTTCGTCCTTCAATCAGAACTAAATCCAAGGCAAACATCATGTCGTTTTGGCCCGAATCAAAAACTTTCGATTTCAAGGTTGGGAGGCCGATTTCCGGGGGTATGATTGCTTGTGTTCCAAAGCATAGAGCAAACGACGTTTCCCCAGTGGATTGCCTCGGCGTAGTTCGATGAGCCCACAATACATTCGGCAATTCTTTGACCCATTTGCCTTTAGCTTTCTCCAGCCTCTTCTTGATGCCGTCTAAGATGGATTTGTTAGAGGCTTCGGCTTGACCATTGCTTTGGGGGTAAGTTGGCGTGGAAAAGTAGGGCCGAATACCATACTTGCTGCACAGCTCTCGGTAGACGCCACAATCAAACTGGGTGCCGTTGTCTGAGATGAGAGCTCTCAGAATGCCGAATCGTGTTATGATATTTCTCCATACAAAGCGCTTGACATTGGCATCTCGAATGTGCGTTAATGCCTCCGCTTCAACCCATTTCGTGAAGTAATCCGTGGTCACGATCAAGTATAGCTTGTTCCTTAGGGCCCTTGGCAATGGTCCTACGATATCAAGCCCCCACTGGGCAAACAGCCAGGGACTGGTGATACAGCTTAACTCTTCAGCAGGCAGGTGGGTTAATGGGGAGAACTTCTGGCACTGCTCACATTTTTTCACAGAGCATTCGGCATCGGATCTCATTGTCGGCCAATAATATCCCTGTGTTATAGCTCGATGGGCCAAAGAGCGCCTGCCAGAATGTGCGCCACAGCTGCCTTCATGTATTTCAGTCAGAAACTCTTCGACTTTGTCCGGATCCACACGTTTTAGGTATGGACTAGAAAAGGACTTTTTATAAAGCTTTCCTTGCGGATCCAAGTAGTAACGTAGGGCTTTGTTTCGCAGCTTGTGCGCTTCTTTCTTGTCCTTTGAGAGCCGTTCGGAAGATAGGAATGTGGCAATAGGATCCATCAAACTCGGTCCAGATTCTATGACATTGACCTGGACTTCCTCCGAAGGACCAATGCTTGGCTTCGGGATGAAACCCACCTAGATGGTCCGTTTGATCTCTGAGTTAATGGTGGAGGCTAGGCAAGCTAGGGCGTCTGCATGCGTGTTCTGATCACGCGTTATTTGATTCAATTCATAGTGGTCAAATTTTGCCAGCAAGGAGTTAGCTATTTTCATGTAAGTCACCATACGGTCATTTCTTGTCACGTACTCCCCCTTCAGCTGATTAATCACCAGTTTTGAATCGCAAAATACCAGCAGACGCCGAGTACCCAGAAGATGTGCATTCCGCAAACCAGTCAGAAGGGCTTCGTATTCGGCTTCGTTATTTGATGCTTCGAAGTTGAGTTTGACGGCCTGCTCAATTACTGCGCTGTCAGGAGCCATGATTACTACTCCGGCTCCACTGTCCCGTTGGTTGGATGACCCATCACAATACAGCTGCCAAATGTCCCCAACATAAATTCTCCAGTTCGGCTCTGGTCAAATTTCATCAGACTTGAAGTCGACAAGACCCCCAGTAAATTCAACCACAAAGTCGGCAAGCACCTGCCCCTTGATTGAGGTTCTAGGTAGAAACTGAATGTCGTACTGACTGAGTTCGAGAGCCCACTTTGAAATGCGTCCTGATGCTTTCGCATTACGCAGTATTGATCGGAGGGGGTAATCTATTAGCACCCCGATGTTGTGTCCCTAGAAGTAATGCATTAGTTTTCTTGCCGCCATGACCAGGGCCAGGATGAGTTTTTCCAGCGGCAGGTAGCGTGTTTTGGCATCGACCATTGCCTTGCTTACATAATACACTGGCCGCTGCTCCCCCAGCTCTTCCTTTATTAGTACGGTGCTAACGGCCCGGTTGAAAACTGCCAGAGACAAGATGAGCGGGTCGCCTGCCGAAGGTGTTGTCAGGAGAAGAACTGATCGGAGGTAGGTTTTCAGATTGTTGAAAACGGCTTCGCATTCGGCGGACCATTCGAAAGCCTTGCCCTGCCGTAGTGTATGGAAGAATTGTCGCCAACAGTCTGTGGAATGACTGATGAACCTGTTAAGTGCGGCAGCCATCCCTATTAACTTCTGTACTTCCTTGACCGATCGAGGGGAGCCGAGTTCTAGGATTGTTGTGATCTACCTTGGGTTGGCTTCAATTCCTCGGTGGTTGACAATGTAACCCAAAAATTTGCCAGAGCCGATCCCAAACACACATTTGGAAGCGTTCAGCTTCATTCTATATTTACGTAAAATGCCGAAGGTCTCTTTCAGATCGGCTATATGATTCTGCTCTTCCTTGGACTTCACCACGATATCGTCAATGTACACTTCTATAGTGTGGCCGAGTTGTTCTTTGAACATGGCAGTGACCAATCTTTGGTAGGTTGCCCCTGTATTCTTCAGTCCAAAAGACATAACCTTGTAACAGTAGGTTCCTCTTGGGGTGAGGAATGCAGTTTTCTCTTGGTCCTCTGGAGACATGGCGATTTGATGGTAGCCTCTATAAGCATTGAGAAAGCTCATACGTTGATGGCGTGTCGTCGCGTCTACAAGTTGGTCAATTCTAGGTTGGGGAAAACAATCCTTGGGGTAGGCTTTGTTTTGGTCGGTGAAATCGACGTACACTCACCAAGTCCCATTTTTCTTCTTTACAACCACTGTATTAGAGAGCCATGTAGGGTAGGTCACTTCCCTGATTACCTCGGCGTCAACCAACTTGTCAACCTCCTCAACAACGGTGGTAGTATGCTCTGCGGCTGACCACCGGCTTTTCTGAATGATGGGCTTGCACTTAGGGTCAACATTCAAATGGTGCTCTGAAACGGACGGATCTATGCCCGGCATCTCGTAAGGAGTCCATGCAAACACGTCCAGGTTGTTGAGTATGAAGGAAATTAGCTGCTACCTGTCAGCTTGATTTAGGGAGGTGCCGACCATGACGAACCTGTCTGGGCTTCCGTCGATGTCGGCTCGATCTAGGGCTTCCGTGGCCTTTTCAGTCGGGAGCCGTCCAACATCATCGAGGCTCTCCCGATCTGGTACCTCAATGGAATTCACTTGTAACTCTTTCGGTGTTTTTTCAACAAGGATATAGCATGCTTGTGCCGACTTCTATGAACCACGGATTTCCTCAATGCCGCATACTGTCGGGAAGTGAAACAGCTGATGATAGGTGCTTGGCACTGCCTGCATAGTATGCAACCAAGTCCGCTCCATGATGATATTGTACGGCAATGGTAGCTTCACGATCAAGAACTCCACATCCACTGTTCAGGAATATTCTGCACATGAGAGCCTCATCGTCTGCATGCAACGTCATAGCTTACTTATAGTGGCAGATGTGATCGGTGGGGTCTGATTTACCATCGTATAAGGTGAATGACAGTGCTTTGAATTTCTTGGGTAGCACTGCCTTTGCAATCCGTCGTACGAAGAGATCGTGCTGGTCTTCTTCATCTGAACTGTTTCTTCTTCGCTTATGCCTTATATGGGGACTCTCTTCAGAAGAACTAGTAGTTTTAGGTCGCCTCTTCTTCTTGGGCTCCGGGGATAATGAGTCGGAGTCACTATCGGTGTTGACTTGTCGGGCTCGAGGTCGTTGACCACCTGTCCTCGGAGGACGTTCCGGATCTAGGCATATAGCTTGTTTGTACTTCGCCACCTTCAAGGCCAGATCATGACAGAGACGATCGTTCTCAGCGATCATGTTCTCCAACCTCTGTTCATTTTGCTTTGCTTGTTCCATGATTGCCTGCATTGTCTCATGCTCCGAAGTCGAGGGTTAGGCGAAGTTCAAGGCGCGTCTTGCGGCGATAGTCTCCGATCCAAGCATGGTTGTTGGAGTGAGGTCGTCTCGCTGCGTGGTTTCATCAGTGACTATCAAAGGGTCTTCTGTTACGCCCGCCATGGATGTATTTGAGTATTCCCACAGTCGGTGCCAATTGTGGAGAAGTGGTTTGGAAATACTCTTCTGGTCCTTGGGGACGCTCGTGATCCTCAGCTAGCCACCTGAAAAAGAATCAACACTCCGGTCAGGGGAGCTAGAATTAGCACTCTGACAGGCAAGTCAGTCTCTACTCTCTGGATTACTTGTATTTTAAGTTAAGTGTAGTAGTTCTCACATACCTTTCTTCTTCTGTTGTTCCTTTATTTATACTCGTCTCCTGGGCCTCGGGGCCTGGCCCACTTTTCACTCATTATCTGGTTATTTACTCGGCTCCACAGTTCAATAGATACTCGGCCTATCTCTTGTATTCGGCCTCCTGATCATGCAGGATAGAGCCAAGTAATATCTGTTTTCCAGAGCGTACGCTTCTGATTCTGCCATTTATCTAGCTCCCACAAAACTAATTAACTAATCCTAGTTAACTAATTAAGCTATTACAACACAAATTGAATAATTAACGTATTAATTAATTAGGTACAAAACCAAAGCATAAACTAGCTAAGGAAAGCAATAAACAGAGATCCTCAGGAAGAGGAGTGCATGCATGCCCGGTCGCCTCGTTCGGAAATCCAATGCGATGCCCCGATTTGCCTTTGTTCTCATTTGTTCTAAAAAACTTGTACTAAGCTCCAGAAGGCTTCAACTCCACCTTGGGAACCTGTGGGAGGGCTACCGACCAGTTGTTGAGGAAGGAGACCATCGGCCTACCACTTTCTGTGCTGAAAACCAGAAAAAGTGGTCAGCCAGCTAGTAATACTGGTCGGCTGACCAGTTATTGCTGTTGAATTCCAGTTTGCTACAACAGAGAGCAAGAAAGGGCATGTCAATGTATTTACAAGATATGTGTGCACAACCACCCTCCCTATCATGTCATGAACTCAAGAGAGTGTGGTTCTCGACCCTCGGGCCACCAATCGCGCATTTCAATGTGTGATGGCTGAGAAGTCAAATTGCATAATTCAATGTGAAATGAATCCACAAGTAAACACATAAAGCCTAAAACTCTATCATGTATGATCAAGAGCGGAATTGAGGCACGTTTCATCACTTCAAGTATGAAACGTCCCTCGTTTCTCATGCTCGGATTAACACTTAATCCTAATAACAATGCAACACATAACATGGCATGCTCAATGCAAACAACAACTTAGCATACTCAATGCAATGTGACATGATCAACTTAACAAAGCTAATGATCTGCGAACAATGCTAATGCATGCATGCACAATGCAATGCAACAAGAGCAACTTAGCAATGTTAGGAACATGCATACTCAATGCAAAGAAACAACTTGGCATACACAATGCAAATAACCATATGGCATGCACAATTCAATGTAAGATGGCATACTTAATGCAATGAACAATAAGCATGCGAACAACATGTAAATAAACATGCTAAATGGACTTAAACCAAAAGGGGGTAGACCTCAGTCATGCCCAAATCAGTGGCCATTGGTGATAAAATTAAGGCACATGAAGCATATACAAGCATGCACATGCAATGGCCCATCAAAGAGGCCTAAGAGCACAACCCTCAAGAAGGCTCAAGGAATGACAAATGCAGAAGTGTAACAACACTAAATGCACTAAAATAAGGTAAGAAATGATGCCAAATCATTCAAACAACACAAGCAAAGCATGCAATGGTCCTTAAAGCATTAAAGCTAACAAAGAGGACTACAAAGGGGGCATGCAATACATGGCACAAAGGCATGAAACAACCATGGACAAAGCTTAAATAGGTCAAAACAAAGATCTAAACATGCTAAGTTAGGGGCTCAAAGGTCAAGGCATGCAAGCATACAAGCTAGGCCATAAGTAAGGCAACAATGCACAACACTGAAAGGCATTCGAAGCATGAAAGAAGTGGGAATATGGCAATGCTATAAGCTCTGAAATGAAGTATTAAATGATGTCAAATCATCTAAATAGCTCAAAGATAGCATGCATGAGTCAATAAAACACAAAGTTAGCAAGGCCAATTGCACTATAGCTATACAAAGCATGAAGGATATGGCAAAGGCAACCCAAAATAGTCCTAGAACATGCTAAAATGGTACTAAAACATGCATGGAAGGAAGCCAAAACAAGTTAAAATGCCGGGCATAAGGCATGATGCATACAAGGCAAATAAGGTGGATTATACTACACCTATTAAGACCAAGCATGGGATGACTTAACCAATAAAAATTAGAATATATTATGGCAAAATAACCCCCAAAACACATTGAAATGATGGCTCACAAGCTAAGGCATGAAGGCATACGCAATGATTCATGTAAAGGCATAAAGGGGCAAACCCTCCAACGCATTGAATGAGTGATAAATGCAAGCGTATGAGCATGAAACATGGACTGAAATCACATAATAAATGATGCCACATCATTCAAATAGTCCAAGTAAAGCATGCTAGTGGACTTGGTGCACAAAGCTAACAAGCTAGATTGAACCATGGCTATACAAAGCAAGTCATGCATGGCCAAACCAACCAAAATCAGAGCTAAAGCATGTTAAAACATGGACAAGAGCTTCTTGAAGTTAAGCCAAAAGCATGCTAGAATGACATGTTAAAGCATGATGCATGTCAGGCTAATTCATGGAAATGCACTACAAGTGCATGGAGCATGCAAGAGGTGACCAAACCAAATCCTAACAGAGGTATGACATGGCAAAACAACACTAAGAACATGCTGAAATAGACTCAACATAGGATAGAATGACATGCTACTTCATGAAGCATACAAGACTAGTGTGTGTGATTTACACTACAAGTGTATAAACCATGCATGGAGTGACAAAGACAACCAAAAAAAGTGGCATGCCCCAACAAAATAAGCCCAAATACAAGCTAAGAACAAGCTAACACAAGCTTAACAAACATGCTCAAACATGAGGCATATGAAGCAAGTAAACAAAGCACAAGGAGAGGGGATGACCCTCTCCTATTTAGGACCCCAAAACCACATTTCCACCATTGAAAATCCTCTAGATTTCAGTGGTAGAAAGGTCATGCAAAGGCTAGAACAAAAGCCAAAAGGGATGGCTCAAAACAAGGCCTAAGAGGGGATAAACAACCCCAAACACAAAAGTGACCTCAAACAAAGATCTTAAGGACTGAAAAACAGAAATTTTTGTAGTTAAGAGTTAAGCTTAAAATAGCATGGAAGTAGGGCTAAAAGCTTAAGCAAAAATGGGGATTTAAGGATTAGAAACTCACCCTTGAAGACCACCTTTAAAGCTGTAACTCCAATAGGTTTTTTAAGCTCAAACTAACCCAAGAACACCAAAACCAGCTCCTAAGCACGTCAACAACAAAAGGATGGTGTTTGAGTGTGTGTTTATGTGTAAAAGTGAGACAAAATGACACTTTAAGGCACAAAACAAGAGCAAAAGAGAGATATAGATACAAGTGTGTATGTATCTCTCAAACCACCAAAATCTGAACCTAGAGGAGGGAGGAGGAGCCTCCCTCTTATAGAGAACAAAAGCTAAAGCTTCTCAAGGAAGCTAAGGTTCAAGGCCATCCCTCCATACACGTATATGGAGGAAGGCTTCAGTGCCCTCCAGCTAGCTGGAGGAAAATATCTCCAAAAATGTGCCAAAAAGCAGCCGACCACTTGAAGTGTCGGCCAGCTACTTAAAGTGGTCTCCCACAACAAAAACTGGTCGGCCACGGGTAGCAGAAGTCTACACACTGAAAACAAGCAAGTGGTGTGGTGGCCGACCAGAAAAGGTGGCCTAAAGACCAAGAAAGCCAGTTATTCGACCAGAACACTGGCTAGCAGGAGGAAAAGTGGTCTCCAAGGGGAAAAAATGGTCTCCCACCCTTGTACCATCTTCCAAACAAGGAAAACAAGGTTTGTACCAAAAACAAACCAAAACGGACGCAAGACGAGAGATCGGGAGGCAAAGTACGCGGCCGAAAGCCTCGAAAACTAGTCTACTGGCATCAAAAGTGGTATACGACCACAAAAGTAGTCTCCCGGACCACAATTTTCCTCTAGGTAGAGGCAATAAGGCATGGTTCAAAAACCACGCCAAACGGAGAACGTTAAGCGGTCTCGAGACAAGGCGCACAGCCGAAGGCTCCAAAACTGAAAACTAGTTTCCAAATGGGAAAAGTGGCCTACGACCACAAAAAGTGGTCTATGACCACAAAGAGATGGTCTACAAGACTTCTCCCTCCCTCCGGAAAGAGAAAACAAGATTCGGTCCACAAACCGAGCCAAAGCACAAAGAGTTCAAAGGCCCGAAGGTAAGGCTCTCAGCCAAAAACTCCGAAACCTTAGAACGAGCACAACATGCACAATCACCGAGCGCTCAATCGATGACGTCTGAGTCTTAAGGTCGGTCAAAAATGGGGCGTCTACAGCTACCTAACTCAAATAGTGTTTTACTAATCTCTTTGTCTACATAACCACGCATCCCAATTGGAAGAATCCATTGTATGAGTACATGGCAGTCATGACTTTTCAAGCCTGTTAATTTACAATTTCTCGCATTCACTAATCTTGATATGTTCGCAGCATAGCCATCTGGATACATCACTGATTTCAAGAATTCAAAGAAACCCTCCCTCTCTTCAGGGGTCAATGAAAAGATTGCCCTAGGTTTGACATAAGTTCCATCAGGACGACGTGTTAACCACAACTCTTTCCTTATGCCCATATCTTCTAAGTCCATTTGTGCTTTGTTGGTGTCTTTGTTCTTTTCATTAATGCCTAACATAGTTCCAAAGGTATTTTCACTAAAATTCTTCTCGACATGCATGACATCAATGTTGTGTCGAAGCTTCCGTTTCTTCCAGTATGGTAACTCATACAGGATGCTTACCTTTGTCCAATTTGGTGCCTGACGGAGTCTTTTCTTGTTTCTTGGATGCTTTCCATATGCGACACCTGTCACTCTATCCAATTGCTCTAATATCTTTTCCACTAGTAACTCTAAAGATCTCTTTCGCTTCTTATGCTTACCATTGTAAGCCTTACTCTTTCGCCTTTCGGGGTGGTTTTGAGGTAAGTATCATCGATGGTTAATGTATGCAGTCTTACCTTTCAAGGATTGAAAATATGGTTCATCATTGCAAGTGTAACAAGAATAATGACCCTTTGTTCTCCACCCAGATATGTCACCAAATGCAGGCCAATCATGTATAGTGCACGTCAAAGCTGCACGCATCTGGAAAGACTCACCAGTTACGGCATCATAAGATAATGCACCATTTTCCCACAACTCATTCAACTCATCCACCAAAGGTCTCAGGTAGACATCAATATCGATCCCTGGTTGTGATTCTCCAAGAATAAGTAATGACATCATAAGAAAGGGATCTTTCATAACCAACCAAGGTGGCAAGTTATAAGGAATGAGTACTGCAGGCCACAAACTATATGAGTTGCTTATGTTCCCGAAAGGATTGAACCCATCAACAGCCAACCCTAGCCTCACATTTCGAGGCTCCATGGCAAACTGAGGATATTGCGCATCAAATTCCTTCCACTCATCACTATCGGCGGAATGCCTCAATACTCCGTCATCTATACGTTTGTCCTTGTGCCATCTCCTGTCCTCAGCAATCTTTCTTGACATGTACAATCTTTTCAACCTTGGTGTCAATGGGAAGTACCGCAACACCTTATGGGGAATCTTCTTACCCGTGCCACGATTGATCTTGTATCTGGATGCCTTACATTTTGGACATTTATCAAACCTTGCATTTTCCTTCCAAAAGAGTACACAATCATTTATACAAGCATCAATTAACTCATATGACAAGCCCAAATCATGAAGTATTTTCTTAGCTTCATAAAATGACTTTGGAACCAAATTATCTTTTGGTAAAATTTTTGTTAAAAACTCCAACAGTGTGTCAACCGACTTATTGCTCCAGTGGTTTGTTACCTTCATATTAAGCAGCTCGATGACAAACTTCAACAGGGTGTAGCTTGTGCAACCTAAGTACACCTCACGTTTGGCATCATTCAATAGTTTATCAAACGTTTGTATTTCCTCATTCTGGGGTGAATCGTTGGGTTCTCCTCTTATTCGATCTTCCACTAAGGCATCAATACCACCTAAAACCTCATCTTCATCAATTGCCATTTCACGGTGAGCCTCATTTGATACACGTGGTTCCCTGTGCTCATGCCAAATAGTGTACGTTTGCATAATCCCATATTGAAGCAAATGAATTTGCACATTTCGAAGATTTTGGGAATAATAGTTCACACAGTTCAAACATGGGCACGGAATTTTACCTTCCTGGTCAACAACTGCCATTGCAAATTTGATAAATGATGTCACCCCATCAATAAACGACTGACTTATCCTTCCATCAGGTGTCTTACCCAATGCAATCCAACTCTTGTCCATGTCAGATCACAAATGAAAGATCAAGTTTTTTTAATTTGTGTGTCATAAAACGCATCATGTGTACTATTAACCTTCTACGCTCGAGCGGACTGGTTTTCACGCTAAAAGTACTGGATGCAAGAAATTCACGCTCAATGGGTGCTCGATACCCGCTCGAGCGTGAGACACAAGTCCTCGCTCGAGCGTGCATTACCCCGCTCGAACGGACTTTTTAGATAGTA